TGGTATCTAAGGGGCGGGTGGCCTGGATAGACGCGGCAGAAGAAAGTTGGTGACTGGGTGCATGTGGGGGCGATCCAGGCGGCCATAGGTCTCCCCACGCCGCGTACTGGAAAACTTGTGAGACATTTAATACGCGTGTGTATACTTGGGGTCGTCCGACCCACTTGTAAGGGAGGGGCACGGTTGTCAACACGCAGGGCGTTGTCAAGCTCTCCAGGGCTGCTTTCCACGGCTCCTCTATGGGACTCTCAGTCAAAGCCGAGTTGGAGATCTTTATGTTGGAAAAAGGCCACCGAATGCCAAGCATTCCCCGAGCTTGAGAAGGGTGTTTTCCAGACTGCTGCAGTTAGCGAGAGGGTTTCTGAGCTACTGTCTCTTGGTTGTCCGTGGCGCCTTCCCAGGCCACAGGTGTGCGCGCTCTGCTGAGAGGCTCCTCGGGCCTTTCAAAGTTTTCCCACTTGTCTACTTCATTTGAAAGACCCGTTTCCTGGTAAGGAGTGAGGGATCCTGGGACATTGCTTGGGGCCTCTTGAAAACCCCGGTCTCAGGCCGCACCCTAGCCCTGTTACCCCGGGATCTATTTGCACTTTGACCTTCGGGAACCTTTGGCTCTCGGTGTCTCCAAGAAAAGTTGCTGGTGCCAAGCAAAAGGATGATTCACACCACTTTCCCACCCAGTTTTACATTTGAATGCTATTTTAAAAGTGGGGACAGACAGTTCAGCCTCATTGGACCTGCGCACTCCACCCCAGAGCGATTGGCGCTTTGTTCAGATTGGAAAGTATTTGGCAAGCATATAATCTTGCAGGTTGTTGGTTTGTGGATTTAAATTTTTTTCTAGCAAATATACAGAACGTGAAATTGAGCATTTTAATGTTAAATGCACAATTAAGCGGCATCAAATACACTCAGTTTTCTTCAAGGGACTGAGAATGCTGACTAGGAATGTAAGGCAAAACTAGAGTCATGTAGGCAGAACAGAAACAAGCGTCCCAGTGTTCCTGAGTGGACAAGGCAGGATAGTAGCGGGATTCTGAGTTGTGCTTGCTGTTAATGAAGACAAAAAGCCAGGAGGTTTCGTTGGTTTAGGCTGCCGTAGAATGGAGTCACCTGGGGCTTTCAACCTGTACCAACCAGTTAACTATTGATACAGGTGATCTCTAATTCCTCATCTCTTGGTACTAGGAAATGAGTTTGCACTTAGAAGAAAAATACTTAGAGTACAGCTTGGTGGTACTGGCCTTTAACCCCAGCACTTAGAAGGCGAAGGCAGGATGATCCCTATGAGGATAAGGGCAGCCAGGTCTATGTAGCAAACTCCAGGCCAACCAAGGCTGCACGGTGAGACCCTGTCTCAAAACAAAAACAAAAACACTCTTTTTGTTTATTTATTGGGTGTGTGAGAGTGTGAGGGTGTATGTGTGGGCTTACATGCTGGGATGCTCCTGTGGAAGTTAGGGACAGCTCTATGGAGTCTGTTTTCTCCTTCTACCTTGTGGGTCTTGAGGGTTGAACTCCGGTCTCATACTTGGCTGTAAGTACCTTTACCCAATGAACCTTCAGCCCATCTCCTGACACCGTGTGTGTGTGTGTGTGTGTGTGTGTGTGTGTGTGTGTGTGTGTGTGTGTGTGTGTTGGCACATGTGCATGCTGTATGTACCTGTGGAAGCTGGAGGTTGACATCTGATGGCTTTCCACCTTATATATTGAGACAGTGTCTCTCACTTGAACCCAGAGCCTGATGATTTGGTAGTCTGGCTAGCTGGCTTGCTTGGAGGGTCCCTGTCTTAGCTTCCCAGCTGAGATCTCAGGCTGGCCCCCAAACCAGCCCCACCCACAAGTGAAGTTTCAGTGTGCTGTACCCACTTAGCTGTGGTCTCCCCAGTTCCTTCTCTCCTTCCTTCCTTCCTTCCTTCCCTCCCTCCTTCCCTCCCTCTCCCTCCTTTCTCCCTCCCTCCCTCCTTCCTCCCTCCCTCCTTCCTCCCTCCCTCCTTCCTTCCTCTCTCCCTCTCTCCCTCCTTCCCTCCTTCCTTCCTTCCCTCCCTCCCTCCTTCCTTTCTTCCTTCCCTCCTTCCCTCCCTCCCTCCCTCTCCCTCCTTTCTCCCTCCCTCCTTCCTTCCTTCCCTCCCTCCCTCCTTCCTTTCTTCCTTCCCTCCTTCCTTCCTTCTCTCCTCCCTCCCTCTATCCCTCCTTCCTTTCCTTCCTCTCTCCCTCTCTCCCTCCCTCCCTCTCTCCCTCCTTCCTTCCCTCCCTCCCTCCCTCCTTCCTTTCTTCCTTCTCTCCTCCCTCCCTCTCCCTCCTTCCTTCCCTCCCTCCCTCCCTCCTTCCTTTCTTCCTTCCCTCCTTCCCTCCTTCCCTCCCTCCCTCCCTCCCTCTCCCTCCTTTCTCCCTCCCTCCTTTCTCCCTCCCTCCTTCCTTCCCTCCCTCCCTCCCTCCTTCCTTTCTTCCTTCCCTCCTTCCCTCCTTCCTTCCTTCTCTCCTCCCTCCCTCTATCCCTCCTTCCTTTCCTTCCTCTCTCCCTCTCTCCCTCCTTCCCTCTCCCTCCCTCCCTCCCTCCTTCCTTCCTTCTCTCCTTCCCTCCTTCCTTCCCTCCCTCCCTCCCTCCTTCCTTTCTTCCTTCCCTCCTTCCCTCCCTCCCTCCTTCCTTCCTTCCTCCCTCCTTCCTTCCTCTCTCCCTCTCTCCCTCCTTCCCTCCTTCCTTCCTTCTCTCCTCCCTCCCTCCTTCCTTCCTTCCTTCCCTCCTTCCCTCCTTCCCTCCCTCCCTCCCTTCCTCCCTCCCTCCCTCCCTCCCTCCTTCCCTCCTTCCTTCCCTCTTTTATGTGATAGGTGTTTTGCCTGTATGGAAGTCTGGGCACCCTGATCAGTGTAGGGCCAGAGGCCTTGCATCCATTGGAACAGTGCAGTGGAAGCGCTGGCTCAGCACCCCTCCCTCAGTCTCTTACCACTGATTCCAACCACATTTTGAAAGTTAGTTCAAATGAACTTTGAGAAAAAGAAAAAGGTTGTCTCTGCAAATATTGGAGCCACAGCAGGACTTGAGGCGGATAAAAAAAGGTCTGATATAAATTTCCAAAATGCTTCAACCTGTTTTATTTTTAAAAATCATACACACACACACCCCTCTCTCTCTATCTAATTTTTTTTTTGAAACAGGGTTTGTCTGAGTAGCCCTGACTGTCCTCGGTCTCACTCTGTAGACCAGGTTGGCCTCAAACTCACAGAGATCTGCCTGCCTCTGCCTCCTGAGTGCTGGGACTACAAGTGTGCACCACCACCCGGCCTAAAATATATTTTTACAAGATTTTATGTTTAATTATGTGTCTCTGTGTGGACAAGACCAGAAGAGGGCATCGGGTCCCCTGGAGCTGGAGTTTCAGGTATTTGTGAGCCAACTGACAGGGTGGGTGCCTCTGTAGGCGTAAACAAGCACGTTACCTCTGAGCTCCAGTTCCTTACTTTTCTTTTAATGTTCAGTGTGATGTTCTAATAGCACCATCCATAGTTGGAAGAATGTTTCTATAGCTTCTAGCTTGGTAGTGATGGGTTATTTGTTTCCAGTTTTTAAAATGTCTGGTTCCTGGTTTGAGGGCAGTTTTCAATGAGAACGTAATGTGAACAGGGTTCAGAAGTCATTGTCATAGATCAAGACCGTGACTCAGAACACAGCCGGCTGGGGATAGGGTATTGGGCAGTTTAATAAATAACTGCACAGTGGCAGGTCCTCCATACAGGCTCTTTCTTCTTTCTGAAGCCTCATGACTGAGTGTGTTGAGACTGTCATCTGAAGGAGGTGATCACACGGAGGAAGGAATTTACAGTTTCCTTTGATTGAAAAGCCCCTTTGAAATTGTTGACGATAACTCAGCCAAGATCTAGCAAGAAAGCACCCTCTGCAGAGGATTCCTGAATTCACAGAGTTCCAAACTGCTAATTTTTTTAACTTCTAGCAAGGCAAAATGGAATGGATTTTCCCTGCTTTCCTAGAGTGTCTTTTGAGGTACACTGTAGTTTCACATTTTATCTAGTAACAAATACTATTTGCAGTCTGCAGAGAGGGTGAAAAATCCTTAGGAAACATCCAAGGAATAATTTTATTAAGAATGAAAACTTGCCAACTATTTGACTCACTAAATCAGTCTAAGTATTGGAATATGTAGGTTTAGGCACTTGTGGTTCTATTGTATAACCATTGGGAGTCATTTGGATACATGAACACGTAAACACACCTCGAATGGACATGCAAAATAAAATATTGGTTTTTTAATTAAAACATTTTTATTATTTATTTTTATGTGTGGGTCTTTTGCCCACATATGTATCTATGTACCAAATGAGTGTAGTGCCCTCAGAAGTCAGAAGAGGGCAGATGGTACATAGACATACATTCAGACAAAACACCCATACCAAAAGCACACGAAACAACAACAGCAATAATAATAAAGATTAAAATAATAATTAATAAAGCTAAAGTTGTACTCAGCACTCTTCTTCTCTTCCTCCTCTCCTTCTGTTCCCTTCTTTTTCCTTTTTTTTTTTTTTTTTTTTTTGCAACAAGCTTGCTCTTTCTAGACACAGCTGTCCTAGAACTCACTATATAGACCAGGTTGGTGTCAAACTCACAGATATTGGCCTGCCTCTGCCTCCCAAGTGCTGGGATTAAAGGCATCCGTCACCACTCCAGGCTCCTCTCTTTTTTTAAATGAATGCCTCTTTATACTGGTCTTCATGGAGATTTGGAATGCTGGTTTCTCCATTGGAAAGAATAAGGTACCTTGATTTAGTGTCAGTAAACATTTGGTGTATGATCCATTGTAAGACAGAGATTTCTGAATAGATTGTGATCCAGTCTTGACAACCACCCCAGAGGGTCCTCCCTCCCTCCCTCCCTCCCTCCCTCCCTCCCTCCCTCCCTCCCTCCCTCCCTCCCTCCCTCCCTCCCTCCCTCCCTCCCTCCATCCCTTGTAACAGAACAGAAACTGAGGTCACCCTGGTCTTCTCACTTGAAAGTGTGGTTCTTTTCATCCTCCATCCATGCAGAATTAGAAGTGCTTGGTTGCTTGTTCCCACTTATTGCCAGGAAGCTGGACATCCATTCATTCTTCATTTGAATCTTCTGGAATATCAGATTCTGTACCAGGCATTGAAGTAAATTAAAACAAAACAAAACAGAACAAAACGAACGTAAATTCCAAAGGAGCAAAGCGTTCTTTTGCTGGCACCTGAGACCTCTGATGGCTCAGATTACCCTCCACTCAACAGTGTCATTAATGTAGCCAGGTTAGTGCTTGGCAAACTGACTCTGGGGCACTTTTATTACGGACATGGATCAATATTATTATTCTTGTATGCCAGCCTGAAGGTACTATCTGGTATTCCAAAAATGTAGCCTAGCTACGCATAGCTGGATGTGGTGGTTCACCTGTAACCCCATCCCTCCTGAGCTAGGCAGGAGGATATAGAGATGTGTGCTGGGCTGGGGTATGTAGTAGAGCTGACCTTTACTTCCCAGCTGAATCAACAGGAGCATATATCACAAACTCATGCCTGTGTGTAACATTACAGGAATAATTATCTCCTTCCATGATTGTAGTGAGGCCTCAAGAAACTCTTATGTGTAAAAGTGCTTGTAAACTGTAAAGTGGTAACAAAAGCTGCCTCTTAGCTCCATTTGGGATTTATAACGGAAAGGAGATAGGAAAAGTCACACAGCCGCCTCACACTCTTTAATTTATCTAGCACTTTTCAGTTCACAAGGCTGTTTGTAATTCTCTTGGTAGAGTTACGCCAATTAAAAGGCTTTTTTTTTTCAGAGTTGGGCATGGTGGCACATGCCTTTAATCCCAGCAAAAGGCTGGCAGATTTCCAAGTTTGAGTCTAGTCTGGTCTACACAGGACTGCCAGGCTTACATAGTGAGACCCTGTTGAAAGAGAGAGAGAGAGAATGAGAGAAAGACACACACACACACACACACACACACACACACACACACACACAGAGAGAGAGAGAGAGAGAGAGAGAGAGAGCACGCAATTTTATCGAGATCATGTACAATCCAATTCACCTATTGCAATTCACAATTCAGTGTATATTTATTGTATAATTATTGTGATGTTCAATTTTAGAACATTTATCTGACTAAAAAAATACCTTCTACTTGTTGGCTGGCATGAGTCAGTCTTCTTCCACAAATGTGCTAAGGGTAGTCATTGGTCTTCGTCTTAGGGTTTCTATTGCCAAGAAGAAATACCATTACCAAAAGCAAGCTGGGGAAGATTTATTCGTGTTACACTTCTATATCACTGTTCATCAAAAGCAGTGAGTAAGGGAACTCAAGCAGGGCAGGAACCTGGAGGCAGGAGCTGATGCAGAGGCCATGGACGATGTTGCTTACTGGCTTGCTCCTCATGACTTACTCAGCCTGCTTTCTTATAGAACCCAGGGCCACCAGCCCCAGGATGACACCACCCACAATGGACTGGGTCCTCCCCCATGAATTATTAATTAATACCCTACAGGCTTGCCTCTTACCTGATCTTATTGAGGCATTTTCTCAATTGAGGCTCCTTCCTCTCCAGTGACTCATGTCTTGTATCAAATTGACATAAAACTAGGCAGGACAGTCTTTCTGTTCATAGATTCATCTATCTCAGGCATTTCTATTTTTTAAATTTATTTTTGTTTTGTTTTATGGTTTTTCAAGACAGGGTTTCTCTGTGTAACAGCCCTGGATATCCTAGAACTCACTTTGCAGACCAGGTTGGCCAGGCCCTGTTGATTGTTTGAGATAGGGTCTCACTATGTTGACTTGTCTGGCCTTGAACGCCTAGCAGTTCTCCCGTCTCTGCCTCCAAAGTGCTGGGATTACATTCAGGAGCTACTACACTTGGCTACCAGACAAGTTTTTATAAATGAGATTATACAACATATAGTCCTTCATGTTGACGTCTTTTATTTAGCCTGAATTTTCAAGGTTTATCCTGTCCCTACCTTTTGATAGAGCTGGAGTCTGAGCTCTGGACTCCACCCATGCTAATCAGTGTTCTACCACTGAGTTATGTACTTGGCCCCACTTGATTTCTCTTTATTGATGATTAATGGTGATGATAATTATGTAGATACACATTTTGACATCCATTATCTACATTTTGGCTAGAGTGAATAATGGTACTGTGAACATTCATGTAGAAGTTTTCATATGAACATACGTTTTCATTTTTCTTGGGTCTGCTCCTAGAAGTGGAAAATCTGTGGCGAGCCTATTGAATATCAAGATCTGTTGAGCTGGTTTCCATAGCAGCTGCCTCATTCTATCAGTAAGCTGGCTCTGTTCTTTGCATCTTCATCCACTTGAACTGCTATAATTTTCTGTAGAGTGTGTGTGTGTGTGTGTGGTGTAAGTATGTACGTGTTCCTGTGGGTGCATACATATGCATGTAGAGCTGGACGTTGGTTTCAGGTTTCTTCCTCGATTACTCTCCATCTTATTTTCAAAAATGATTTCTTTATTATTATTTTATGTATATAGATGTTTTGCCTGGATGTAAGTACACCACTGCATACAATGCCATTGGAGGCCGGAAAAGTGCATTGGATCCCTTGGAACTGGAGTTATATGTGGTTGTGAGCTACTGTGTGGGTGTTGGAAATGGGACTTGGGTCCTCTGAAAGAATAGCAAGTGCTCTTAACCTCAGCCATCTCTCCAGCCTCTCCATGTTATTATTTATTTATTTATTTCTGAGACAGAGTCTTTCTTTGGACCTGGAACTCATAAATTCAGTTAAACTTGCTGGCCAATGAGCTCCAGGGGTCTGCTTGTCTCTACATCAACCAGCTCTGAGGTTACAGATACTCACTGCCTGCATTGTATATGGGTTCTGGAGATCCACACTCAGGTCCCCATTTCTCTCTCTCTCTCTCTCTCTCTCTCTCTCTCTCTCTCTCTCTCTCTCTCTCTCTCTCTCTCTGTCTCTCTGTGTTTCCATTTTCTGTGGTTTTAATTTGAGCTCTCTTAACTTGACATGGAGTGGTTTTGATTTATATTTCTCTGACAGCTAATGATGCTTATTATATTTTTTAAATATTTATTTGTTTTTGGAGGGGGGTGGTAGGGTAGGGTAACTATTATGTAGCCCTGACTTCCTGGAACATTCCTATGCAGACCAGTCTAACCTTAAACTCACAGAGATCTGTCCTCCCTCCCCTTCAAGTGCCCAACCTATTAATTTGTTTCTAAGACAAAACCTCTTGTAGCTAAGATTGGCCTCCAACTCATATATAGCTGAGAATGACTTTGATCTTCTGGTCCTTCTGCATCTGCTCCCCATGTGCTGGGATTACAGGCATGTTCTATGCAATGCATGCCTGGCTCATGTGCTGGGATTACAGGCATGTTTAAAGGAATGCATGCCTGGTTCATGTGCTGGGATTACAGGCATGTTCAATGGAATGCATGCCTGGTTCATGTGCTGGGATTACAGGCATGTTCTATGGAATACATGCCTGGTTCATGTGCTGGGTTTACAGGCATGTTCAATGGAATGCATGCCTAGTTCATATGCTGGGATTACAGGTATGTTCTATGCAATACATGCCTGGTTCATGTGCTAGAGACTGAACCCCAGGCTTTGTGTGTGATCTGTCCGGTAATAATATCACTAGCCACTCATGTGTTTCTTAGACTGTTTTTTCTGGCATTTTTTCCCCTTGAAAATTAGATAAAGAAGAAAACCCATTTTGAATAGATTCTCTGTTGAAGTGTAAGTTGAGCCATTTGTTCTTTTGGAATTTATTTTGTTTTCTTTTACTTTTCATGTACTTTAAGATCTGATGTAGTATCTGATCATCCCGAAGATATGACTGAAATGTTAGTAAATACACAGAGCATCTTTGCAGTGTGTATTTGCATGGGTAAGCAAGGACTTATTCTATGGGCTGACTCAATGTCTATAAAAACATTGGGCACCTGTCTTAGGGTCACTATTCCTGTGATAAAAGATAATGACAAAAGTAAGCTGGGGTGGAAAGGGTTTATTCAGCTTACATGTCACAGTTCACAATCAAAGGAAGTCAGGATAGGAACTCAAGCAGGGCAGGAGCCTGGGGCCAGCAGCTGATGCAGAGGCCATGGAGGATGCTGCCTACTGACTGGGTCCCCATGGCTTGCTCAGACTACTTTTTATAACACTCAAGACCACCAGTGGAGGGATAGCACTACCCACAATGGGCTGGGTCTTCCCCCACCAATCACCAATTAAGAAAATGCCCTACAGGTTTGCCTGTAGCCCAGTCTTATGGAGGCATTTTCACTATTGAAGTTCCTTCTTCTCAAATGACTTTAGTTGAGGTAAAACTACCCAGCATGACACCCATTCAAATGTTAGCATTACAGGCGGTGATCATTTAAAACATTTTAATGGAGATGGGCACTTGAAAATTTAAAAATGTAAAAGTTTAATAAAGGTACTTTTTGATTAGCACCTGTCAAATCTACTTATTAAAATATACAGCGAGGGTGAGGCTGTAGCTCAGTGGTTGGGTATGTGCTCAAGGCCTTGCTTGATGGGTCTTGGTGGTACACAGCTCCATCCCAGTACTTGGGACATTGGAGGCTGGAGAATGGAGAGTTTACAGGCCAGCCTGGACTTCAGGGTGAGATCCTATCTCATGCAAAACAAAACAAAAACCCAACACCAAGAATAAATAAACAACCCTTACGTTGTTATACTTTAAAATCCTGTTAATACAATTTATTGAAGGGTATCTAGAATTGAGTTCCCCTAGGAGAGGACTTAGTATATTTGTTATTTTTCCAAGCTTCCTGGCGGGTGTTTTTTCCTCTGTTGTGTGGAACATTAATTATCTTCAAGTTGTATAACCAAAAATCAGTATTGAATTTTCTGGTTGTCGTGTTTTATGGGGGCTTCCTCAGGTTTTGATTTCCTACTAGAAGAAAATGTTGACAGCCTCAAAAGAGAAGTAGAGAAATGAGCAGGATTTGGTGGGAGAGAGTTGTTTCCTATTGAGAACTGCCTGAGTCAGTGGTGGCGGACTGGCTTGTGGAGGGCAGTGCAAGAATTCTCAAGCATTAATGCATCACGGGAGAGTTGGGGTAAAACACGGGTCCCTGACTATGGGAGTCTGAGAATGGATGTCTCTCAGAAGCTCCTACCCAGGACAGGTGGCGTTGCTGACAAGGCAGGGGAACTTCTAGGCCGAGAGCCAACGGTTTGTGGGCATTTTGGAGTAGGACTGGAGTGTGTGAGGTGGTAAAGCTAGGGCTGCTTGGGCTCCTGGCATGCAGGTGTTTGGTAGTGTCATGGGCATTGTGGGGGTAGGGCACAAAAGGTGCCAACAACTGGCTTCAGGGATGCCTTAGGGAGGGGGCCTGGAAGGGGGAGAACAGGTACTTGCAAGGTAGCAGAGGTAACCAACAGAGGGTGGTAGCCTGATCAAAGAAGCCAGGGTCTGCTAGGTCCTCTGAATTCAGGAGCCTGAGGACCTGGGTGGCACTGGTTTCAGGGAAGGGTTTGAGCTGCCATCAGGTGGCAGGTTTGGGGTATGTAGGGCCCTGTCTTCCCAGCACTTCTTCTGGAAGGCACACGTTACCAAGTCTAGTTGAGCAGCCTACAATCCCAGGTCAAGTGTAGACTTTACTTTCTGATACAAAGGGCCCTCTTGTCCTTCAGGCAACAGTTGCAGGACCCATGGCTGACTCCTGCCTTTTCTCGCCTACCAACGCTGACTGGAACCAAGGTAGCCTTTTGCATCCCATTGTGTACATGTTGTCCACATCACTAAAACCCACTCCCCTCCCAGCCTGTGCAGCTTAATGGCTTTAAAGATTTGCGCAGCCCTGGGCCCAGGGTTCTTAGCATAAATGAATATAAGCCGATTCTGAGAGTGGGTGCTGACATCCGCGAGTGTTTGTGACAGTCCGCATCATGAAGGTCACAAGGTTTGCTACAGGAAAGAATTCCCAGCAGGGTGGGGGCCTGTTGCTCACAGTGCGCCCCTACCCTTCCTTCCAGGTTCACAATGTCCAGACAGACATCCTCTCGTTAGCTTGTATATTTGAAGGAATGCTTAGTATGTCGGAAGATGTAAGAGATTCTCTTGGGTTTGGGAAAGAGGCCCTAGTCTGCCCTAAGCCCTCTCCGGTCTGAGCTGGCAGAGAGTGATCATTTAATATCCGTGCTTTACAACTGCCTGGCCCTGCCTGTGGCTGAG